TATATATAAGCCCTAGCGCTAATATATTAAAGAGAAAAGATACAGATAGGTTGTATGAGTAGGCCTAAAAATAAACACCCAACACACACGATACAACACACCAAAAAAAGTTAAAAAAATGGTACATATAAAAATAAAAAAGCCCAAAACACCCGGGCGTTGAAAAAGAAAAGGGGTTATCACAAACTTGTTTTGCCTCTGGCTCTAGTTCTCGGAAGAGATCCAACTAGCAGATTGGTAAGGTGTGTACCATTACCCGACGTAACCAAAGTATCATCCATAAGACTCCTGAGCTCAAGTAGATCTTCATTCTTCTTCTTTCTCCTGAAAGTGTAAACTTGTCATTCCTCATCCGAAGAATCAGTTTGGCGAGGTGGTAGAGCTGAAGCAGAAGGATTACCAACCGTAGTACTCACAATAGGTTCTAATATCTGTGAAGTATGGGTTGCCTCTATACCAGATACTTCCTGAAGAGAGGGAGCGATGAGGTTCTCTTGATTGTTGTTCTGAACACTATCCTTTGTAGGTAATAGTTCATCAATGTTGTTTTCAATGGGGTTTAAAGGTGTCAGCATCACATCACTTGCAGTAATAGTAACAACAATGTCAGGAGGGGGGGGGGGGGGGGGGCAGGGACAATAGTATCCTCCTCAGGTGGAACTAAAATGTCCAGAGCAATGGGGTTAGACCCATCCTTATTCACTTGAACCTTAGCTTTCAAATTAGGATGAAACTTATGACATTTATCAATGATATGTCCAAACATCTTACAGTGAGTACAATATGGGGGTCTGTGTTCCATGACGATTTCTTGCCAATATCCATTATGGGTTGTGCCCAGCAAGACTTCAGTAACATCAGGTAAAGTAATATCCCTTTCCACAAATATTCTGGTCACGAAAGGTTTGGTTAGGTTGAAAGTATGCAGATCTAACTTCAGAGGATCCCCAAGGATGACCCCAATAGAGTAGAAAACTTAATGGTGAAAAAAATACAACTTGAGACCACTTAGACTAAATCAAATCGGTACAGTGGGAGTTTCATGATTTGGGTCGAAATCAGGAAACCAATTGAGTAACTTCATTGATTTGTCTGCGATATTAAAATATTTCTTGGAGAAAATGCGGGGGGAGGCGTCAGCCACGGTGAGTTG